GCCACATATAAGTTCTGCCTCCGAAACCCTGGGCAGTGCCAATTTCATGCTCTAAAATTCTCCTGGCTTCTTCGTGATGCTGGTGTGACCAATGGAACCTGTAGTAAATATGAAAAATGTCAACCACTTTAGCCTGCCGTTTTTTTTTAATTCAAGATTTTGAAACTCAAATGCAGTTTTGCAAAGGGGGGTTAAATGGGGAGAGAGGAGGGGCTGGAGTGGATTTGTCCCTGACTCAGCCGTCAGGCAAAGCAGAGTGGTGGTGAAGTTGTCTCCCTGTGACTGCAGCCAGGCTCCCGGGCTTAACAACCTGCTCTCAAGGTTAAGAGCCATGTCGAGGTGGCAGGCCGGCCATTTTTACTCACTAGCACATATGACCCTTCCCAATTATAGCATCTTGTCTTAAAAGCAGGTTCAGGCTTAAGGGAGATAACTCTTGAGCGTGAAAAATCCCAGAGAGCCAAGAGGTACAATGCTGTCCCCCTTGAAACCTTTCCAAGCTCAGCACTAGGGAAACGGCAGACAAATCAAACCAGACTTGGTGTAGAAGGCTGCAGGCAGTTCCAAGGACACCGCAAGGAATCACCTCAGATAATGTTGCACTTGTGTGTATCAAATGTGCATTTGAAACTCACTTTCACCTCTTCTGTACATTGCCCTTGATGACAAACAGCTGCAGACTTGGATTATCTACAAGGACAGACGTACATTATTTGAAGGTTTGATGATACCAGCACATCTTAATGTAATCAAATGAGAGTTTATAAATATGTCTAGGCAGAATGGAGGGGGAAGCCATTACTCTCACACCTCAGGGCTATAGAGGTCCCCCCTAGAGGGAGACCCATTTCTAGCTGTCACCTGAAGCAAAAGTGGGGGTGATTTCCTGGAAGCTGCAGCATCAGAGCAGTAAACGCTGCCGAGAAACGCCCACAAACCAGACTGCTTTCCCTCCTATTTGGGCATTGACTCCATCAAAACATTCTGTCCAGCTTGGTGGACCCCCTTAAATATTTTATTTCAATCACCCTGGAAACGTTAAAAAAAAAAAAAAAAAGCCCAGCGAGAAAAAAAGCAAGGCTTGGTCGTGACTCGTAGGATCATCAACTCTCCCTGACTGCTGGGGCAGAAGTGCATGCCCCTGACCCCTCCATCGCACACCTGCCACATTCCACGTGAACAAGTCAAAACCTCAAGCCTGCTTGATTAATCACCCAGCCCAAGAATCTACAGAACAAAGTTCACATTACCCAGAGAGCTGTCTGAAGGGCCCTCTGAGGTCAGGATGCAAGACCAAACAAAATTAATGTGCCTGCCACATCCATCATCGTGTAATCTGCTTCCAGTTCTGTAATCCCCGAACGTCTGGACTGTGCATACCAAGAACATTCCTGTTCGACATGGATCAAAACGATTCATGTACAAAGGGCTCCGAACCCTCCCCACCTCTAAGAAAATCATTAACCATTTCTACAAGTCAAACAGCCCTGGGACTGCAGTCATCTGCTCACACCAAGTCTCTAGGGACCTGGAAGTTTTCATGATTCTATCATAAATGTTTCTCAGACATCATGAAAATGAAATTTGATTTGACCTAAGAATAAGGAATACACTGTTAACTTTCCGGTGACGTACTAATTCATTTAGATTATGTAAAGGATACAACAGCTCTCACTGCACAAAAGTGGTTCACAATTAGTTCAAGGGAACTGATGTTCCCCCCAGAATGAACTGGTTGGATTAGATGCACCTAAGATTATAAGATACATACTGTATTTTATGTTATCGTGAGATTACTTTTCACTATGACCTCAGAACATGTAATGAACATTTCAAGGGAAGTATTCCTATACATTTCACTCAGGAGGAAAGGAGATTCAGAGACATTCATTGTGTGAGAGACCTGAGGTCACACAGCTCTTGTTTGGGCTGGGCTGAGAGAAGCCCACATCACACTGTGTTTTCCTCTCATAATTGATATTATTTTCAAGATTTTATGCTATAAACCTCCCAATTCTCTGAAATCCATTACATAAAGATTTCACCACAAGGTTATTTTATGCTACCAGCCCCCTAATGCTCTCAAATAGTTCACCACAAAGATTCACATCACAGATCATGTGAATATTATTACTGGATTTCTTCATTCCAAAGCACACATTCCTAGATTCCTGATGGAACAGGAAGTTGGACAACCAGGATGTTTTATGTTTTGGTCATTTACACTCCTGTTGTCTGAGGAGAAAAATTTTAGGTATAATTTCCGTATAGAGAAGCCTACACGGTTTAGGAGTAAGGATGACAAAGAATGGGGACAGTGTTCTCACCTTTTAGAAATTCAGATATTAAGACTCTGTTCTGGGGGCTAATAGTGTCCACTGATTGTGCAAGAGTAACACCAAAATACACATTAATTTTAGGACCATTAGGAGTGATTCTTAAATAAACATAAAGGGAGAATATCAGTAGAATTTGAAGTGGCAAGACTTTGATTCATCCGACAATAACCAAATGAGTATTATGTGCCACAAAAACTTACACATACATTATTTCATTTCATCTTTGCACCTGCCTTCTGGGGGTTTTCTGTGCCCATTACTGACAGTGAAGCTGGGGATCAGTGAAGGGCCTTGTAGAAATCACAGACGCAATCATGTGACAAGGCTGAGCTCTGAAGCCACGTGCATCTTATTCCAACCGTCCCAAAACAGACCACTGATACTGGAATCTGAATCTGAACAATGTCACCATTCCCCTCCCGCTCCTTAAAAGTTAATGTTTTAAGCTCTTGGTATCATTCTTGCCACGTGAAAATGTGAAAGTATTTCAAAATTAAAAAAGTGGATCTGCTACTACTCATCACCTTTCCATCATCAGGAAAACAGGAAATGGTTTTTACTAAGGGTCACGGAGGTGATGGGACAGGGAGGGGCTGAGGCATGGGAGGCAAAGGCCTGGTGCCACTGTGAGAGGTTTCAGGGGAAGCAGGGGAGGTGCTGTGTGGTAATGACCCAGACATCAATACGAACACTGGCCCCTTTGGTCAACACACCTTGATTCAATATGAGCTCTGTGCTAGGTACTGACGACGTGAGGTCCCTAAGGTAAGGGGCCTGCCCTCCGGGACTCAGTCTGGAACGGAACACGGGACTTGGTAAAAGCAATACAATACCACACACTGACAGCCACGCTGTGGGCTTCCACAGGGCGCTGTGTGGGCACCGGGAACTGGGCCCCTGCGAGGGGTAGGGGACACGTCCTAGAGGAAGTGACATTTCTTTTGGGGTCTCAAAGTATGAGGAGGAGTTTTCCTGGCAGAGACAAAGGGAAGGGCTCTCCAGGCTGAGCATATTTCCAAAGGCATGGAGATCGGAGAGATCACGGTGTGTCCTGGAAACGGAAGACGGTTCTCCGTGGCTGCAGCCCGGGATGCACTGTGTCCCTGGTGAGGGCAATGAAGAAATGATGCTGGAGAGGTGGGAGGGGAGCCCAATTCTGGGTCTGCCTTCTGTACACTGTGGGGAGCCAGAGGTTTTTAGGGAAGAGAGTGACAAGATCTATGTGATGATCACGTGGCGGAGGGGGGCTTTGTGGAAGTGGACTGGAGAGAGCCAGCCAGGTGGCCGCGAGGCCGGCTGTTATGAACTCTACTTGGAAGGACCCTCGCAGCTCTGAGGTCCTTGGTGGCCCTCTGGTCTAGCTCTCTCCTTTATAAACGACAGACCAAGGTCTGGAAAGGTTAAGGGACTTGTAACAAAGCTACCCAGCTGGTGACTAAGGATGGGGGCAGGATGAGGTCCTGCCGGCTGCTGCCGGTCCCTTCCCCCTGCCTGGATGGCCAAAGAAAGTGAAAGGCTCTAACATCTGGGCCCCCCAGAGGGGCTTCAAGTTTACCTGCTTGAAAATAGCAACAGATAGGTTGGAAAATAACCGTAGTCAAAGAGTGAAGAAACGTTTTTACCTTGGCTTTGGATTCCTGTTGTCTTATGGACCAGATAAGTACCAAAAGCAACACAGCGTAGCTACTGAGTAAAACCAACACAACACAGTCAAGGGAATTGAGGGAAGTGCACGACTTCTTGCTAAATCAACCAAAGTCATCAAATCCTGACTGTCCCCACATGCTGGAATTCAGAGACATGAGCGAAGTCCTTCTGGAGTGGGCTGGATCAGTTCTTTCCTAAGAGCAGACGGTCACTATCTTAGCCTTGTCGTCTAAAAAGAAAGCCAGTTGGCAAGAAAACATTTCATCCACAGAACTACTATTCACAGCTAGTGCCGAAAGATGCCCACTGCAAAGCAATCCTGTATGATCATCACCGTTGCAGAACTGAAAGCTTAAGCCTAACACCCTACCCCTGGAATGTGAGGGCAGGGAATATACTCTGTTTTTCAGAAAGCTCAAATTTTCGAAGAAGCAAAAATTCTCAAGATCTGGAAAACCAAACAGCCCTCCTAGAGCCCTCTCATAATTTCACTCCAAAGAGGGAGATCTAACATGGAGAATTTATTTTCAGGGTAGACACAGATTTTCTGACACCTGCATTTCTCCCAAAGGGCCCCTGAGACTTCATATCGGAGCAGGAAGTCATGGTGTGTCATCAGACTCTGGGGGCTGCTCACATGAGATTCAGACTCGTCTGAACCCTGTGGCTGAGTTAAAGTGAGTGGCAGGCCTGGGGAAAACGTATCAGCATCCTTTACCACCACATTTCGTATTGTACATACCAAGCCATTAAAGGAAACAGAGCATGCCATGTCTTTGATCGGTCACAGATGGGAGAAAACCAGCCACGATAATAAATTCACGGAGGTGGAGTGTGTCGTCACACACGGAGCCAGGATGTGTGATCCAGGAGGCGTGTATGGGGGGTGTTAATGCCATATGTCGTTTTACTGCTGTGGGCCTGCTCTCAGGTCAATAGCAACATGTTCCTCCAAAACAGCTCCGACGCCATCCCTGACGCTGCGGCGCTCTGCCAGACCTACGTGACTCTTACCAGGTACTGAAGTCGCTGGCGCTCAGTCTCAGGGGTGAATTCCGAAGACATGGGGATGATTTCTCCATTTCTGATGATTATGGCCCTGAAATGGTGAAAATGCACGTGAGCAGCCAATCTCATAAGTACCTCGATTCTGTCCTAACTCCATAGCTTAGTTCAGAATACACCTGAAACTCTCAGAGGATACTTTTTCCTCTGACCTGCACAGCAAAGCTCAGTGTTACCAACTCACCACATTGTAAGTATCTTTAAGAGCATGACATTCTCGTTAGCTCATGAATCTGTGCAGTCCAATATGGCAGCAACCAGCCCCACGTGGGTACTGAGCATTTGAATCATGGTGAGTGCAAGCTGAGAAACTGAATTTTTAATTTTATTTAATTTTAATTCATTTAGCTTGAAGTTAAGCAGTCACAAGTGGGCTAGTGTAGTAGACAGTGCAGCTCCAGATCTCCGTTACTCAACGTGTCTGTGAGCCAGCAGCTTGTTAGAAATGCAGACTCTCGGGTTCCACCGCAGACTTCCTGTATTGGAACCTGCATTGTCGTAAGATGCCCAGGGAATTCAGAGGCATGTTAAAATCTAAGAACGCCGGACCTAGGCTCCTGAGTTTCTGGGGTAATATCCTGGGTCCAGGAAAACCACTCCTATCTCATCTTAAAGCTCAGGAAATTCACATACTCTTCAAAATGTGCCCAACAGCTACTGCCGACGCCGGGACTTTTGAGAGAACAGAGTTCCCCAAAGCAGACGTCTAAAAGAGGAGCTGCCGGATTGATAACTGTGCAGCAACGTTCCCTAAGCCTGTTCTCGGTGGAGCCTCCTGTGCTCAGACCTTGTTCCGCAGTGGTCCCTGCAGCCGCCTGCCAGCTATCCATCAGTTGTGGCGGAAGGCTGCCATTTCTACGACAAATCCAAGTGGCTAGGGGAGCTGCATTCTATTCTAACCACAAAGCTCCTGGTATCAGGGAGCCAGAGACCTGGGGACCCAGCACACTTCTCTGTGAAGAGCCACAAGCACGGGGAATACCATCAATGAGCTCAGCTCTGGGTGGAGGCCTCACTGACAATGGGGAGGCTGCGTTTTTTGTGCCAAGAAGCCCCAGGCACCCCTCCCTCCCACCGCAGAGGCAGGCAGTCCCTGACTTGGCAACAATCCCTATAAATGGCTGCAGCTGCTCGACCCCCTCCCCTGCTAACCCCTCACCACCCATGCCCAGTTGCTGCTGTCATAGAAACTAGTGGAGGGGGGCAGGCAAGGGAGGAGATGACAATAAAAATCTTGGGGGCATTAGAGAATTTATGGATCTAGGAGAAAAATGGTGGAACTGTAAGAAAACGGAAAAGTTTTGCGGGGGCTGACCCTGGGAAGAGGGTGGCTCTTGCTGTAATACTTGTATCACTTCTTTTATTATGCCGCCAAAAATAGGACAGATTAAAGATTCCTTCTTATAAACCCAGAGTCGCTTGTAAAATGCAACCCATCTCCCCCAACCCCAAGAAAGGTGATATCCACCATTCACAAATCAGTGTGAGTTAATTGAAATCGTCTTTGTCCTACTTATAAGCTGAGAATAACTGTAATAAGAGCAGGGGTTTTGATAGAGGCTGGAGAAACTTGGAGAACTTGAAAGGAGGGGTCAGGAAGCTCAAGGTTAGGGCCTAATCTTAAAGTAGCGAGAAGGGCCCAGAGAATGTGGGGCACTAGAGCAAAAGGCATTATGCAGTAAATTCCCACAGCAATCTTCTGTTTCAAAATTTTGCTAAAAGCTAGTCTTAATTCTTTTCCCTCCCTTTTCCTTCATGGCCCCTGAATTCCAGCTTCCAGGCTCAGACTGAGAAAGGTGGGTATCCAGGAAGGAAGTAAAAGATCGCGGTAAGAGGAGGAAGGAAGGGACGGTGGAAGATGGGGTGTCAGGCAGCGTGGGCCTCTGGGGAGCGGCCAACCAGACCATGCAAGAGCCTCCTCCAGGACCTAAGTGTCAGGAGGTCGGGGGCCTGGTCTGTTTTCTTCACTCTCATATTCCAGATGCTTGGTATCTTGCCTGCCACCTAGCAGGAGCCCCATGAATATTAATTGAATATAAGAAGAGATGAGGGCTTCCCTGGTGGCACAGTGGTTGGGAGTACGCCTGCCGATGCAGGGGACACGGGTTCGTGCCCCGGTCCGGGAAGATCCCACGTGCCGCGGAGTGGCTGGGGCCG